GCAGTTTCTTGACTCCAATTCCAAGCATCTTTGTTTACTTTTTTCAGTACTCACACCCGCAAGTTCTTCGTTTCCGTCCAGCCGCCCGTCGGGGAGCTAATGACACCAGCATTTCTGACAGAAAACGACTTCAAGAAGGAGCAAGGTGAGAGAACGTCAGCCCATTCTCGTTTTAGCACTCACAGTTGCCCTACTGATTGCTAATTTTCCTCAAAACGTCTGTCATTTTTCTCTAGTAGTGTCTCTCTGAAATTCATTTTCAAGAGTAGATATGAGAAAGAGAGAAGATTTTATGTCTCTCTTTCATTATTCATGAAATATGAATTTCATGTTTCATGGCTTTTCCTAATCTGAATTCTTCTATTGTGCACTAAAACTACATACTTTTGTAACCAGAATTTTGACTCTTGATACCATAGACCCCTTTCTCATGTACTGTTACCGTTTGCATGCTAGCATTAGCTTCTAGCTAAACTCATTCACTTAAAATCCATTATTTTCCATAGCGCAAAGGTGTTGTGTAATATTAGCATGTATACTTAGTAGTACCATAGACGATTTTTAACATAATGTGGTAGGCTAATCTGAATCTAGCATATGTTATAGCATGGATAGTGTGTGAATTGAAATTCAGCCTGTAGTTAGTTAGCATGCCGCTAACACATCTGTTAGTTTAGCATATTAACGTATTTGTTTAAGCATATTAGTTTAACAAACTCATGTTTTCCTCTTCCGTGGGCTCGTTTTGCTGCTGTTCATTAGAGAATCTTTTGAATGGTAAGTTTCTGTGATGTAGCCGATTAGCGCAACACTTACAGTGTTGCTACACTTACTCTTCCCCTATAGTTCCTGATTTGTTTACACAGACACACACAACCAGCTAACAGGGAACGTTCTCAGAACTTTGGCTAATGCTCTGGCAAGGTTCTCTCAAAGTTATGAACAAATGTTCTTCCAGTAATGTTACTAGAACACTTGTTGAAAGTTATCTCATCTTTAATACTCAAAAACGTTATTTATACAATGGAATTCATTTTTTGTGAAACATTTGAGTCTGACATTCATCTAACATTTAAAAAAATGTGTTAACTACTTGTTTAAGAATGTTCAGAGAACATTCATAAGTAACATTCCCATAATGTTTGCAAAATGATGAAATGGAATGTTCGCATAACAAAGAAAAAACATTTTCAAAACTGGACATTTTGAAAATTCAGAGAACATTGACAGATTTTTGCACATTGTGAAGTTTTCATGACTTAATCGGAATGTTAGCAAAACGTTCTTAGAACATATTTTTGTTAGCTGCACACCCTCTTCATGTTATTCTAGAAATGCTTTTGGTTTCAGCTGCCCCTCCCTCTTACCGCAGTCTCCAGATATCGCCTTGGCGACTGTTACCATGACTATGCATTTCCTCACAGCATGTCAAGGTAACATTATGCTGCATCTTAGAAACACTGAACCTGTCCGATTGACCCTGAACCATCACGACACTTGTGAGACCAGCACGCTCGGCACAGCTCACAAAACCTGTTGTGTACTGTCTACATAGACAGCTACCTTCCAAGGTGGCATTGTTAATGACTTTTGAGCTTTTAAGTGACTGAATTGTAACACTCTTCGTGGGCTGCAGCTTTGTTAATGCACAAGAGACCAGACAGACGTTCACTGTTGAGTCCAATAGTCTGACATTAGCATGCTGCTAAGCTAACAATGCAATTAATTACATGGAATTCATTTCTATTACCTTAATAAAATAAATGTAGAATTTTTCCAACACTGTTCACAATCTGGGTTGACAATTCCAAGTTGGGGTTTGTCGCAATGCACTCTGGGCATCTCTGGGCTCCATCAAATGTCTCGGACAGTTTGATGGAGCACTGATCTGATGAAGAGATGCTTTCTGTCTCTTTTCACAGGTAAACTGATGGGAATGAATGAAATCTTGGAGAAGCTGACGCTGGGAGAGAAATGCGTGAACGAACACGTCATCGTTGAGAGAGTCACGGCCACCGCCAACTTGAGCAGAGTACCATGCGGTTCAGATAAAGAGTGCAGGTAACACACACACGTGAAGACAGTGGTCCTTTCCCAAATGAAGACTTTTGGAGTCCACTTAATGTTGCATAGACTGTAATAAATGGCTGAGGGAGGGGTGGGGGGTGATGTCATTTGGGACGGGGTCTCTAAAGGCCCGTTCACACCAAGTATGATAACTATATTGATACAGTTTTAAAAATCAAGCCTTAACTAGTTGTATGAGTATTACAGTCCCTCCAGGATTTCGTGATTTTTTTCATGATTTTTGCGTTCAAAATGACTGATTTTGTGGTGGTAATTTCCAAAAATCTGCACAAAATTTGAGATGTTTTTTTTTATATAATTATGATAGTACATTTACCATAACTCTTTTTATTACAATCAACCATGTGATGCTTTTTATTTTGTCATTCATCCTGTTTCTTAATCACTCTAATGTGTTAATAACTTAAAACAGTACTGCCCACTGAAAGCTGTGCCTGATATAAATGAAATCTCTGTCGATTTGACACTTATCGTCATACCATCCAGTCAATAATAACTTATACTCACTTCACTTCGCTCATGTCCAGTGGTTGTCCATCTCAGACATTGTTAACTGCTTGCGTTTGATTCCACAGACAAGTCCATATGTCGCAGATGTTTGCGTCCACTGAGATAGCAACAGCAGAATTTCTTTTGTCATCTGTTGTCATCCGTATTTTATTATAAGGACTACAAAACAATTTTGTACCCCAATTTAACCCCACTCTGGTGTAATGCATTAGGATATTGCTTTGCAATTATGTGAGTCCGGTGAGAAAGTTTCGCTTTCGCTGTTTCAGACACACCACTCACTGATATCACATGAAAATAATGCATTAGAACTTTAATAAAATTGGGATAATTCAGTTAGTAATTATAATTTAGCTTTTTGTGAGACCTTAATTTTTGCTATTATGCTGGATCGCAAAAAATGCGACATTTTTTGATTTTGCGTTGGATTCAGTGATCACAGAATCGCGAAAAATCTACGGAGGGACTGGTATTAGTTATATTTGAGAGGAATTCGTATGTTCATGTATATTTTATGTAGGTTTGATTAAAGAGACCATTATTTGAGTATGTTAAACTCTTTCATTCTTCGCTTTTCTGCCTGTATTTCTGGCCTGTGATCTTTTGAAATCTCAGTACACCTCCTCCTCCTCCTTCCGCTCCTGTTTACAGATTCGCAGGTAAAACGGTCAGCAGCGGTTGCCTCGTGCTGGTCACCGTAACTACGAAGGAAGGCGGCGGAGCTCAGCTGACGGTGAACTGTGAGAAGATGGTGATCGGCACGATGCTGGTTAAAGACATCCTGCAGGCCCTGTCGCAGTGATGGCGCCCCCTACAGTCAAGACCCTCCTACTGCTGCTTACCGCATTGATTTGCATCTCTGTGTAGATATTTCGCCCACGTGGACTGGCTTGTAGCATCAAAAATATACTTAGAACTGACGTCAGAACAGCGAAAGTAACATTCACGTCCCTTAATCAGGATGCTCCTCTTATGTTCTTCTGTTGAATGTTGCATGGCATCAAAGACAGTCTTTACACCATAAACTCACCTGAACTACTGCACAAACCTGCATCAATTTCAATTTAGAAGCTCTTTAGGATATACAGTACATGGCCGACAGTTTTTGGAAACCACCTTGTAATCCACAAGTCAGTAACAGTTAATAAATCCATCTGCTCAGTGAAACAAGACTAATAATCATCTGAGTGATTCATTTGCTGCCTTTGTGATCTTCCTAAAATCAATAGAAACTCTGTGCAGTTTATTTTAGTGTTTATCTGTCACATTTACTGAATGCAATGTCTTACATCTGATGCCAGACCGCATCCACATGACAACACATTCAAACTGGTTTAGAAAACATGAACTTTGTTGAACTCTCTGGAACATGTTCTTATTAGTTTCGTAACACAGTCACTTTCTGTTGGTTTAGCAAAAGGAAAAGCTCCAAAACACATCAGTATGAATTCACTGCCTTCATGTTGTAGCAACATCTCTTTCGACAGGAAACGTATGTCTTTTCTGTAATTGCCAATGTGTAACTACTGAATTAGGACTATGGACTGGTGTATCACCTGACATTCATCAGCTTCTTGTTCTCGTGAAGCTCTCAGAAGAATATAGTATCTCACAATCCGGTTATTTTAGATATTTTAATGCAGTCTGGAGCTGTTTATCCTGGTGAAGACACTGTTAGTAGTTAGTTTTAAACCTTTTTTTGTTATGATGATGTGCTTGATGGCATAAACCAGATCTTCCTTCTCCCCTGGGTTAAAAATGAAATCCAGCTTTACTGACTCATCTCTGTGCCACTGTGGGAAATCATGTGCTGTTTGAATATTATATCTCTATTTATTATAAATAGTTTTAAATGTCAATAAAAGAGAACGCATACTCAAATTAAGATGTCTACTATTTTTTATTTTTATTTTGATGTGTTTATATGGTTTGAGATTTATACAGATAGGTGTGCCCGGGGCAAGTTGTCACACTTTATTCCAGTTGGTTTATTTACGAAACGCAATTTCTTTATATAGACTCGTATTACTTAATGCCTTGTCTACAAAAGGTAATTGAACGATTTCGTCGTTATTGTACAAGAATAAAATTCACTGAACATACGTTGACCTTTGTGACAACATGCCCCAATAGCGGTTACAATGTAGCAAAGAATATTGGCTTTTTCATCTCGATTTAAATTGTAAAACTGTCAAAATATTTTTTTTTCTCAATTTCTGATCACAAATGTTACAGACATTATATACAGACATTATTATAATTCATACTTTTTTCGTATGTTTAATTTATGCATGTTTAAAGCACATTTTTAGTTACTGAAATATAACCCTCGTGACAACTTCCCGTGTGACAACTAGCCCCGGCCTCCACCTTGTGCGTGATTTGCTAATGCTGGAGTCATGCAGCTGTTTAATTCAAAAATGACTGAAACGTGTTCTGGTTTGTGTCGTGGAGCAGCGGCGGCCTGAACTGTTTTATAAAGTTAAAATTGGCGTGTTTCTGTCTTTTTGAGCTGCATATAGACGCTCTAATGGATTTCTGCAGGGTAAGAGACGGTCTACGTGTGTGAAAGAGGGTCTTGCACACAGTTTCAGTTTTTTAACGGCGCTAATTCTACATCAACTCCAAACATTTGCAGCTTAGCTGTGTATGATGAAAATAGTACAAACACAATGTACACAAACTGAGACAAACAACAAAAGGCAATTTGCTTAAGAATAAACAAGATGAAGAGCATTAAGGCATAAAAATAAAAAAAACTAACGAAAAGAAGTAGCATAATTGCTGTCTAAATAGGGAGCTCACTAGGTTTTAAGACACACACATTATGTTCCCTTAACACTAAGTGGAGTTTTTCATAGTTTGGTAGGTTGTCTCAAAAGTGTTTATTCGTAATTTTGAGGTAGAGCCAGACATCCTAGCAAGCTGAATATAGGCATGCTCAAAAAGTCAAGTACAAGTAATGTTGCCCTTTAGTTTACTAGTTGCAAGTAGACTTAAAGAAAATGTTCAGCTAATATGACGGTTCTGTCACCCTTTTGTGCATGTGCCATACTGTTTCTTTTAACAGAGAGAGAAAAAGCACTGCAAAGCTTATGGAGATCCTGGAGCTCACAGGGCCTTTGGGCTGTTCACAGGAGCCAAACCGCAAAACGTTTGGAAACACATCACAGGTGAGATCCACACACACACACACCGATACCATCAAGTGAATGTGACACTGAAACAGGCCATAATTGCCTAATTAATAGATGTTTCTGGTCTGTTTCTGGTCTTATTGTTCCCTGCTGGTACGAGACTCAAACCCGCAACCTTTGGGTTACGAGTCCGACTCTCTAACCATTAGGCCACGACTTCCCCAGTCGTGAACAGTTCATCACTGCCTGTTATTCCTTCATCATCTTTAATCAAAATGTTAGGTCCCATTAAGGTCAACATAAACTTACAATGAGCAAAAAATTTGTTACAGTGTGTATTAATCTTTGTTAATTATTTAATAAAAATACAACTGTTCATTGTTTGTTTATGTTAGCTCAGGTCCATTAAATAATATTGAATAATTAGGTAATGTTAAAATTAACATGAACTAGATAATAAATGCTTTATTGTAAAGTGTTGTTACTGTACAGTAATAACTTACTCTGAAACTCTGATAGTCTGATACTTTCCGCTGATGTCACTGAGGCCACACAGACTACCTGCAAATCCTGGTATGTAACACACACTATTTATTATCCTTTTGGTTAAAATCGAGACCCGACCTATGTTTTTTACTCATAATGTGACATAATTTCACTTTCACTCAGAAATATTTTGTTTTACAAATGAAAAATTAGTTTCGGATGGCAATTAACATTTTTCAAAAACATCAAAAAGAGCCAAAACTATTTTTTAGAGTATAGTTAACTTTTATGCACTTAAAAAAGAATTAACTAACAATCTAACTTTAAAAAATAAATTATATTGAAAACAAGCAGTGTCATAATTACAGCAGAAATACCAAAAATATTGTACTCTATATGGAGGGGGGCACATTACCTTTCCTTGGAGAATATAATTTTTTAATATTTGAAACATGTTTTGTCAGAGAAATGTTATTCTATCTGCAAAGTTTTTACTGGATATTTAGATGTGGGCTTGTCCAAAGTACACAATTTAAGTAAAACAATTTTCACTCAGAATTTGCTAGTAAATTTCACAAATTATTACAAAGAAACAGCAAGTAACACATTGAATTATACATGAAATTTTGATGTAGAAAGACTGAAACAGTATTTTCAATATTATTACTTACAACTTGACAATGCATAAATCTGGACACGCCCCCATCATGTTTCATACTTTTGGGCACGCCCTGTCGTGCCACATACTTTTGCTCCAATCACGTTGCATACTTTGGACATGCCCCCATCATGTTGCCAGTCTTGGGGAAAGTTACTTTTAAAAGTAATGCATTACAATATTGCTTTACTCCCTAAAAAAGCAATAAATTAATTTTTATGGAAAGTAATGCGTTATTTTACTTTTGTGTTACTTTTTCTCCTCTGGCCTGGGCTTTAGTTTTTTAATATAAAAAGGTTTTTTTGGACACACCCCCATCACGACATGCCCCAATAATGTTGCATAGTTTTGGACACACCCCTGTCACCTCGCTGTGAGTGTGAACGCCCCTTTAGTCCGACTCTAGGGTGTGTCTGGTACAGCCTGGGTTCAGCACAGAGAGAGAGTGTGTGTGTGTGTGTGTGAAATCAAATGAGCTGAATCATAGTGATCACTGGAGCCCTGCCCCCTTCCTTCCGTCTGTCTCTCTGCTGAGTCAGGCCATGAACGGGAGACGGGCCAGAGAGACAGACAGTACACGTGATTCACACACACAGGGACGGGAGGTGTTGAGGCTGTTCTGGCAGACCGAGTGTGTGTGTGATGGAGTGAGCATGGCTTTAGCACTAGCAGCAGTGTGTGAGGTTTGAGCGGGCTGGTCACATGTTTAACGGGTCAGTGATGAACACACAGCGGTATGATGAACTCCACTGGACCCACGGCAGGTCGGTATGGGAAACCAGGTTCGGTTGTGTGTCTTTGTGCCTCTGTAACTCTCTCTCTTTCTCATAGATGGTTCGGGCACAGCCTGCTCTCCGCTGGTTAGCAGAATGCTGTTTGCTCCAGAGCAGCAGGATCCTCTGGCTGCCGATTCACACACACACACACACACACACACACTCACACACAGGGACGGGAGGTGGTGAGGCTGTTCTAGCAGACCGAGTGTGCGTGTGATGGAGTGAGCATGGCTTTAGCACTAGCAGCACTGTGTGAGGTTTGAGCGGGCCGGTCACATGTTTAACAGGTCAGTGATGAACACACAGTGGTATGATGACCTCCACTGGACCCACGGCAGGTCGGTATAGGAAACCAGGTTCGGTTGTGTGTCTTTGTGCCTCTGTAACTCTCTCTCTTTCTCATAGATGGTTCGGGCACAGCCTGCTCTCCGCTGGTTAGCAGAATGCTGTTTGCTCCAGAGCAGCAGGATCCTCTGGCTGCCGTGCCCAGCGTTGATGAGCTCAGTCTGAGCCTGCTGTCTCTGAGCTTCCCCTGCTGGAACCAGCAGCCCTGGAGCCGCCCAGAGTCCCAGCGGCCGACCCAACCCTGCTCCCAAACGCCCGGTGAGTGAACCTGTGTGACCAGCGTAATGTTTAAATGTTGAACGGCCACTCCTATCTGTCTGTTCAAGCTAGTTTCAGACACTTTATCAGTGTTTTTGTCTTGATTATCTAGGAATATACAGTAATATATAAATAATTTTAATATGAATATATAAATAATAAATAAAATATTTTATTCTACAAATTAAAATATATAAGATAAAATATATAAACATCCCTTTAAACAAGATACATTTACTTGAGTTGCAAAATTTTGCAGAGAAGAAAAATAAGAATTGACTTCAGACTGTCTTGAATATTGTTTATATTGTTAATTTATATGCACTTTATATGCACTTCACAATCAATGTATGTGTTTTTGTGTATATGTAATATAATGTAATATATACTTTTATATTTAATTGTTTATATGATTTCTATATTTACTGTAAAATGCATCATATACATTGAATTTTTATTGAATATATATATAGTTATATATATAATATATAACAGTTACATTTTATATTGTTTTATCTAATATGTGTATTTACTGCAAAATACATATCAATTAATTACTCTTCATTGAATTTATGATTCTCTTATTTGTTTAAATACTTATAACTATACATATATACAGTGTTTTTATATATTGAAAAGCAATTTTTTATTTTAAGCATAAACCTCAGATAGTGTTGTTAGATGTATATATAATATATATATAAAATATCGATAAAGAAACTGCTATTGTTTTGTCAGACCTTCCAGAACAGTGTTGATGGATTGTTCTGGAAGGTCTGAACTGTAGTGATGTCTCATATCTTGATTTCTCACTCATGACTAATCATTTTCACACCGTTCACAGAGGACAGAATGCTGGATTCATCAGCGTTGGCTTGCATTTCATTTGGACTTTCCCTTTAGCTTCCCTATCTCAGATTACAAGCGTAAATGCGTGTGTCCATCCATGTTTTAAATGAAAGACATGATGTGCCTAAGGTTGGTTCTGACCCAAATCCAGTATTAGAGGGATACACACACACACACACACACACACACACAGACCGAGCTGTTTTCTGCTGTCTCATCCAGCACTTCTCTCATTCATTCAGTCTTTTCACAATAATAGTGTTATTTTCGGACAGAATTTCAGACAGATATACACAAATGATAAACATGCCATCAAACTCACAGCACTGGTTGAGCCAGAAGTTGGGCAGTTTGTAAAAAGTAGCTAATACTCATACTCATATTTTATTTTCATATTTATATTTTATAAATATTTTTGTATTATTTATTGGTTTAAACATGCTTTCAAAACTATTGGCTCGGTAATTTTGGTTTTTTATATATTTTTGAAAGAAGTTTCTTATGCTCATCATGGCTGCATTTATTTGATCAAAAAAACAGTATTATTGTGAAATATTTTTACAATTCAAAATAACTGTTTTCTATGTTAATATATCTTAAAAGGTAATTTATTCCTGTGATGCAAAGCTGAATTACACCATTCTTCAGTGTCACATGATTCTTCAGAAATCATTCTAATATGCCGATTTGCTGCTCAAGAAACATTTCTGATTATTATCAATGTTTAAAACATTTGTGCTGCTTAATATTGTTATGTAAACTGTGGTACATTTATTTTCAGGGTTCTTTGATGAATGTTATGTATATTTATGTATGTATGTTATATTTTGAAACACATTCTTGACATTTTGCAATTATGTTTTCACTAAAATATGCAATTTAAGGATAAAATTTAAGTTTAAATTTAAAGGATATAATTGTCAAGAGACAAAAACTGTAAAAAAAAGTTGCTCTGTCAGTAAATAGCACATCTCATAAAAATCACACTGATTCTCTCCTGTAGCGTTGGATCTCTTGGGTGCTTCAGAAGGCGGTGATTCGGGTCAGCAGCACGCTTTCCAGGCCCACGAGTCTGCATCTGGAAATCCACTGGAGCACTTCTCCAGCCTGATGGCGGCACTCGAACCTCACTCTCTGCTGCACTCGGGATCCAGCAGCCCCGTCAACTCTGAGAACAGCGCGATCTCGTCAGGATCCGACCACCTGGTGAGCAACAACATTCCGCTCTGATACCCAAAACCCTAAAGAGTGCAGTGGAAGCTGTTTCCATAGCGACAGTTTCAGTTGTTCCAAAGTTACAGTAAAGTTGTATCTGTATCTGTCTCTTTTAGGTCTCTCTCAGAGTTTCTCCTCCGTTGCCCCTGATGCTTCCCGGACTGCAGGCGGAGGGTGTGAAACTGGACACAGATGCCTGTTTTGAGCAGAACCCCCTGAACACCTTCACGAATGCTTCCAGTGCTCGGGCCGAGGGGTCAGTGGTTGGGTGCTGGTCCACAGGTCCTGTCTGGTCCGGCTGGGACACTTTGGGCTTGAACAAACCCACGTTCTGCATCGAGAGAGAGGCGAAACTGCATAAACAAGCTGCAGGTACAGTGACATTAGCCACCCTGCTAAACAGAACAGGAGGCAGCATTTCTCTTAGATTCACTAAAAACGTTACTTATTTAAAGGGGTCATATGATGCTATTTTAAAGATCATTATTTTGTGTATTTGGTGTAACAGAATATGTTGACATGCTTTAATGTTCAAAAAACACATTATTTTTCAAATACTGTACATTATTGTAGGTCCTCTATGCCCCGCCTCTCTTAGTAAAAACGACACGGAGCTTTGATCATAAAACGAAGCATTTAATGTGATATTATTAAAACATATTATTGGGAAATATTGATATTTATTTTAGCCATATAAATGTCGCACCAAACAACATATTTTTTACTAATTAATTTTTACACATTCTTTTTATATTTTGTCTAAATGTTCATTAAACTGTTCCATTTATATATATATATATATATATATATATATATATTCTGACTGTTATTTCATATGTCAGGCTTTAAAAATGGTTAAACATTTAAAAAAACACATCTTAAAAGCCTTGTGTTCTGTCTATAGTTGTTATTAATATTGTTGTGATTTTATGACTGACCATTTCTCACAGCCGTAAATGAAGCCACTTACACCTGGGAAGGACGCCTTCCTCCACGCCACTACAAAAACCCTGTTTACTCCTGTAAAGTGTTTCTGGGAGGAGTGCCATGGGACATCACAGAGGGTGAGCTGACTTACACTCATTTGAGATGTAGGTTTTATTCTGTATTATGGTTCTGAACAACAAGTTGTAAATAACAACTTTTCTGTCTCTGTAGCGAGTCTGTTGAACACATTTAGTGTTTTTGGTCCATTGAAAGTTGAGTGGCCTGGTAAAGATGGTAAACATCCACGCTGTCCTCCGCAAGGTAACAGCAGAATTCATCTTATAGTAGTATATATCATCTATAATTCAACAACATCTCATACTAAGTAGGCTCAGTGTAAAAAGGACCAATATAGAAACATATTTGATGTTTAACCATATAAAGCTTTTATGGATTATTCATGCTTTTCAGGAAATAGAAATCATTTAAAATCATTTCCAAATTATCAGCATTTGTGTCACACATCTTTTTGCTGGGAAATCGTTGCTGAATTTGATCAAATAACAGCAAGAATAACTTTTATTTTGTTACTGATATTTCAGAATAAATATTTAGCACCTTTAAATCAGTGTTATTTTGTTATACTTTATATACTATTATAGTTTATATTTTATATTAGTCTAATATTTTTTGTAATTATTATTATTATTATTTATTATTATTATTATTTATT